AAAGTATCTTTAATCAAAATATTAGTGCTGGGGCAGTTTGTCGTAGAAAGCCCGAAAAAATTCTGCCTCAGGGGTTGTAGCTAATTCAATACTACTCAGAAGACTTTATAATCATGAAATACGCATTTGAGGCATAGCCATTTTAATTTGCATTTTATCGAGCAGAGCTTACTTCACATACTTACATAGTTTACTAAAAATTCTTCCTAAAATATAGTTAGTAAGAAATAGTACAAATTGTGTAATCTTATAAAATAGTACATTTAAAAGATTTATTATTATTTATATTAAAATGTTTCTGTTTTTAAAGCAGGACTATGTTTGCACCAATATGATAATTATTGCATTGTATATATTTAAAGTTATCTGTGCTCACATAAGATTAAAACAAACTATATCTTGAATGCAGCCCATTTTTCACTTCCTTGTACTGAACGTTTTTTTGATTGATTTTAATGGAATGTAAAAAATTTCCAGATTAATCAACGAAAACGTTTATGCGAGATTCTTTTTAACTTGTTTTTATATAAATAATAAAGTCAACACTCAATATAATAATCCCACTTGCTTAAGCAAAAACGGAAGTTACAATGTGAGGTTGCTATATTCTGGCAGCACAAAACTATACTAAATATGTTCTAATAATTCATAAATACTTGACTATTTTGAGAAAAAATATGCTATACATTAAAAAGTGTTATAAATATCATTTAGTTTGCAGGAAGATTTTTTTATGCCTTTTTTAAGGTTTTTCTAAAAATTCTATGCAAATCATTCTACATTTTAGATTATGAAAAAAAATTATTTTTAGAACGATGAAATGTATGTTAATTTTCAGCAACTTCAAGACATGGAAGAGAGGAGGATAGCGTGTGTACAGAATGTCACGAAGAGAACAGCAGATGTTCATAAGCAGGTCATTCCACTCGTCATTAAGTGCTTGGATGGCATAATTAGTGCGGCAGAGTCCATCAATCCCAGAGAGGTAATTTAATGACAACCAATCATTTTTGTCCTATTTACTTGATATATTTACTCTGNCATTTTTTAACTCCCTTTATTATGCTGACAAACTAGCATATGAATCAATGTCATTCTTCTCTCAATATTATGATATTCTCTGAAGCAAAAAACCCTGTAAAACGATTTTTTTTTCTCCAAATTTCAACCTTATTTTCTCCATTTATTATTGGTTTTCAAATAATGTAAAAAATCTTATTTTATCATTTTCCCCCATCTTTTCTGACAAGCTAAGACTCATTGCCAGGGCTGCCATTGGAGACTAAAAAGGCGACTAAAATGACTATTTTAAAGCAGTAACAACTATGGCGACTATTTTAGTAGAAATATGAGTAAAAACAACTAATTTGCAATGATTTGCCTGAAATCGGCGACTTTTTTAAGCCAAAACGACTAAAATTAAGAATAGCTTTATGAGTTTCCCCCTTCCCCCACTTTTTTTTGCCGCGCTTTGGTTTTATCCTAACTTTATTATTTCTCACTGTTTGATGTCAAAAGCATGACAGACATATTGAACCAATCAGACTGATGGAATTGGAATTCGCACTACGTGAATGCTCCTCCTGCTTCAGAAACTAATGTAATATCTCTGAGGATTAAGTTTTTTCACCTCTTTTAATTTGAACGAAGTAGCAAAATTAGAAAAATTGTCTTTAATTACACAAAATGTGTTGTAAATTTTTTTAGAACTATTTAGAATAGAAAAAAAGGTACATGGTGATATTTGTTTTGTCGAGTAGTGACCGTAATTTTTTTGATAAGCATTAAAATTTGGAAATGTGTCAGTTATGAAAAATAAGCAAAATAAAGCGGAATTAAATTGCAATATTTATTATTATTATTTTTTTAATGTCTAAACTAAGCAAATTAGAACCGAGAAAGGAAATTCAAGTTTCAAACTAAACTGTTCTGTAACAGATAAAAATAAAACTCCCTGTTTTTATGCGTAGTGTGAAAGAATATACTGTTGGCAAATCCACAAATAAATGTACATTTTTTTATAAAATATGATTATCTAACTGCATGTTATTTGAATTTTATGCTATTATAGCACAAATAATTAAAATTATGTTAGAGGAGGATATGATGTTAGCAACTATTTTATATATCTTGGAGACTATTTAGGAGACTTTTTTTCATGTATGATGCAACTAAAGCAACTATTTTTCTTGTTTTCATCCAGTGGCAGCCCTGCATTGCTGACCACCCCAAGAGCTTCCATTCTTCGAATTGCCTCCCTTATCTCTTAAGAAGTCACAGATGTAACATTCCTATCTGATTTCATTTCCTTCGTGTTAAAAGCTGATAGTGAGTCACAAATGACCACAAGCATCACATTAACACCTGATAGAGAATTTTTTTTTCTGTAGAGTGTGGGTGGAGCATCATTCACAAACAGAAAACATTTTCATCCTTTGGATTCAATGCGTACTTTGTTAGTTGGCTTGACAGTCAAAAAAAAAAATCCTATTATTTCCAAGAAAAACGGTTTTCAGGTATATTTACAAAATTTCCTGTCATGGCATGCGCAATAAAATGCTTCTATGTGCCCTCTTAATTAAATTTTATTAAACTATCATAAAATTCTGTTCAGTTGAGTACCTGTCTGGAATCAATACTAAGGAAAAGTTTGGTATGAAAATGTCAAGCTTGTTAAAAGTTTGGCTTATCACTCTATAAACTGAAGACTTATAACTAAATTAGTTACACAAAAATAACCTTTAGAGACAAATTCACCTTTTTTAAGTATGTTATGTACTTCTTGTACCCTTAAATCTACTGTTCTTAAGTCGAAATACATTTAAACTTTATTTTGCATGAGTTTTTGCTGTGCACGGTTTTTTTATTTAAATTTATAAAATGCATTTTTAAAAGCTTTTTTTTTTTGCATTTAGTTAAACTTATTAGGTATATAGTTATACGACTGTTATTTTATTTTTCAGGATTCTTATTTAGTAATAGAAAAATTCAAATCTGGGTATGAACCACCTGAAGACATACCTTTCGAAGATTTAAGTAATCTTAAGAATGGCGACCTTGGAAGTGCTTACTCTTCGTCCAGAAAAGACTCCTTAACGGTCAAGGGAACCTTGTCTAGTGGTAAAACTAAAAAGAGGGGCAAATTATTAAACATGTTCACAAACTCAAAGGTAAGATTCTGATCTAAATTCTTTGCACAATAATATAATACTACTTAAAGAATTATAGGGAATCATTCACTGAATGACTGTAATTAATAGCGTGGTACATAGCATTTTTAAGAAGCGCTTAAAGGTGCTTATTTTCGATTTTGTTATTTAAAAACCCTTAAAGGTGCTTTTTTCATGTAGTGTTTTTAAAAAGTGCTTACTTTTCTGCTTTTCGAAGATGAATTTAACTAATTAATAAGTTTAACTAAACTACCTTAAAAGTCTTTTCAGTTGTAGAGACCTATCTGGAATCAATACTAAGGAAAAGTTTGGAATGAAAATGTCAAGTTTGTCAAAAGTTTGACTTCTATGAACTGAAGTCTATGAACTGAAACCGTTTAACTTAATTAGCTACACAAAAACAGGGTAGCCACCCACCTGGAAAAGCTTGAAAACCTGGAATTATCAGGGAATTTTTTATACTGGAAAAAATCTGGAAATGTCAGGGAAATTTAGATAAAAAAACGTGGAAAAATCAGGGAATTTTAAAGAAAAGCTGGAATTTTTTTTATAGATTTTCTTAATTTAAATTATTTTATGATCCGTATTTCCCACTTTTTTTAATGGAAATTTATTGCATAACAGTTGAAATATCAACTTAGCAATATTTTGCATGCATCAAAATTTACTCCATTATAACCCTGTTAAACTAAAATGCCACATAAAACCCATGATTGCTAAATGAATGGGGAAACCCTTTTGGAAACTATGCAGTTTAGGAAAGCTGAAGATTGTGGTGGAGGTTGAAGAAAGAGTTAAGATATTTCCTTCTGTTCTTATAAGTAGCATTTATTTCACTTCTAATTCGTGGGTTGAATCTATTTATCGTTCAAGTTTGTTTCGATGCTTTAAGTGTTTTTCTTTCTTTTGACTAAATGATTAAAAATGTTTAAGTATTTTTAATTTCGTAAAATTCTCCACAAATTAGTGGGTCATAATTTAATAGATTTTATGTTACACTCTTTCTAAAAGCTTTTGTACTCTTATCCAATTAAATCGGTGAATTATTTTTCTCAGCAAAGCCAAACAATCACATATTTTTTTACAATCGCTAACAGCAATGTTTGTCAACAAATCATTAAAATTTTTGCATTGATGCTAATTTTCTCAATTTCATTTTAACCTTTTATAAAATATTTTAATTAAAAATGGTTCTTTTGAGGACCAACTATATGTTAACATTATTATGTTAACTTTTGTTGGTAAATATTTGATTTTTGATTCGAAATTCAAATTTTTGATTTAAAATTTGATTTACAATGTCGAATTCAAAATTTGACATTGTGTAATAATAACAATGTCGAAAGTTCATTAATGTTACTCTTTTTCCAGAGATGATATTTCCGAAACTGTTTCTCCTTTTACCTTAAGAAGCTGGTAAAAATTAGGGAATGTATGGCAAACATGTTAAATGTTGTGTAAACGTAGGATAAAAGGGATATAACGTAGGATTTATATAAAAAAAAATTAAGCATGCATATAAATATGTAATACTAATATGTTAGGACTTCATTATTATTTTGTTAATCGAATAAATACTTCCCAGGGCAGAAAACAAGAAAGATGGATTATAAACGTTGTCTTCGGCAGAGGATTCTTCCATTATTCAGTTCCATTGTTCAGCAGTATAGGTTAAATACCAAATATTTGTATGTTGCATCTCTAATTTAGAAGCAGCAATTGCTGTTTATTTTTGAAAATTTAATTTTTTTATTATAATTTTACAGTGCCAATTTAATCTTGTATCTATTTACAATTTAAAAACTCATTGAAAACGTTTTTTTTTTTGTTGCAATAACGGACCCTATTTGCACAAATTCATAAAAGCGGACCCTGGTTGAACAAATGTGAGTAATTTTTTCACAATTTCGTGAAAAACGGACCTTTCACAAAATGTCTGGACAGACCCCTGGTGTAATAATAACAATGTCGAAAGTTCGTTAATGTTACTCTTTTTCCAGAGATGATATTTCCGAAACTGTTTCTCCTTTTACCTTAAGAAGCTGGTAAAAATTAGGGAATGTATGGGAAGCATGTTAAATGTTGTGTAAACGTAGGATAAAAGGGATATAACGTAGGATTTATAAAAAAAAATTAAGCATGCATATAAATATGTTATACTACTATGTTAGGGTGAATAGACTGTCCCATAATACTGCGTATGCATCTGCCTAAAATTGTAAATTAAATTCCATTTTACTCCCCCTGGGGAAAATCATCCTTGAAAGGAGTTGGCAGGTATGGATATAAATTTTTTTTGTTCATATGTGTTTGTTAGAAAGAAACAGTTTTTTTGTTGTTTGTTCTGCACTGTGCAGGTTTCTAGTTGCATTGTCTTAATTACGAGAATATTTTTTTGCTATTTCTCTGTTTATTTTTTATTCTACTTGACAGTTTTTTTTCTAGCTATTAGTTAGTTTTTATTTATTTATGCACCAATAATATAGCTAAGTTTTGATTAATTTTCAAAAATGACTAAACTTATTTATATATAAAAAAATAATATCTATTACTGATTTTTTTTAAAAGGAAAATACTACTATCCGGCCACCTAATATTTGGTATTCAGACAATTTTATTGGCCGACTATTCGGTATTTGGCAATTATGCCAAATCACTATTCATTACATCCCTAATGAAAATATATTAAACAATACTTGTCAAAGGTTTTTTTCAGTCTCTCTGTATTTGCCATTTAGTGTACTTAGTGCAAAAACTATTGAAAGTAACACATTAAACTTTTTTATTCAATAAAAACAATATATTCTACATGCTAAGCATATTATTTCCACCACATCCATCTTAATTTTATTAAAATTAATGATGTACCAAAATGTTACAAATTAAAAAAAATAAAAAACAAAATCTTGCTAAGTTGTTAAAATAAATGTATTTTAATTATTTTTTCAATGATATATTAAAAGAAAATATCACTTAAAATAAAATACTTAACAATATTGGTATTTTTGTTGTATCCATCGTATAACTTAATGAGAAAAAAAAAACATGTTAACCTGGAAACTTTAAGATTTTTACCTGGAAAAATCAGGGAAATTTAAAACCTGATTTGAGTGGCCGCACTGAAAAATAGCGTTCATCTTTTTCATGTATGTTATGTACTCCATTTCATTTTGTATGTTATGGGCTTTTTTCATTGGGTGTTTTCAAAAAGTGCTTATTTTTTCCTTTTTGAAAATGAGAATTTTTCTTTACCATGTCGATTTTCGCCACGTGTTATGAAAAAGCATGCTTTTCACATTGTTTTATTCAACATTTTCAAAATGTATGCAACCCCAATCCATTTCGGATTCAAATCGTGTAAAAACTCCAATAATTTTTCATGTTTGATGAAATACTTGCGAGTCCGTATGTGCATCTACTGAGTTGGGTTCAGTGAGATCATTGCACTCTCATGTGCAAATCTGCTGCATTTTGCAAGATATTCTCAATTTCAGACTTCATTTTTCACCCTCTGTTATCGAACAGAAGAATCTCTTGATCATTTTATAATGACTAATGTTATCAAGAGAAGAGTTCTTTGTCTGAAACTAGTTATTTTATCATGATCATGTAAAGTCTTTGAAAATTATTTTGCGTGTTGTTAGTGTATTTGTGCTTAAAAAGTACTTAAAAGGTGCTTATTTTTTGTTGGCATTATAGTGACTATTTTTTATGTTCCTGCTGAACAGATTGGTACCATTTTCCATTAATTTTGCTTTTCAGTACATCGCTTATTTTTTTAGTACATATTAAAAAAATTAATTAAGCATAATTGGTGTCAATAATAGCATAGGGATTTTTTATCTTTCTCCTAAGCATAGGGATTTTTTCCGGTTTAGTACTATATCTCTATTAATTTTTCTTTTCAGTATATTACTTTTTTTATAATTTCAAACCAGTTATTTAGTTTTATAAAATTATACATTTTAAAAGCATAATCGAATAAAAAATGCATAAAAGCATGGTTTAATACTGCTTAAGAAATATTAATTATAGTTCACCTGTGCTACTGTGCTCACGTTGATCAATCAGTTAATCTAACATAACGAATAAAAAATAATTAAATATCTAAGAACATGCTATGAACTACTTTTTTGAGTAATGAGAGCTATAAGCAAGCAAACATCACTGACACTATCTTCAAAATCGCCTGCAGTTTTATTTATATCAATGGCATTAGCTCTAAACCAATGAAAAAACTCTAAATGTCTCTTCTAATAGATCTAATTGAAATTTTGGAATGATTATTTCGACTACAGTTGCTACTTTTACCCACTGTCCAAATTTCAGGATGATATAACAAACAGTTCTGTAGTCATAAGCGAGAGAAACGCACATAGACAGATTGACAAACTCTTCATTTTATTTTTCTAGAATAGGGATGCACAACCTGCGGCTTGCGAGTCACATGCCGCCTGCCATCAATGTGTAGCCCATGGCAGCAATTTAAAAGAAATTTTTAAAAACAGAACTAAAATTTTTTTCTTGAAAAATTTAAAGATTCGGAAATTTGAAATTAAAATATTTTGACACACCCAATCTTAATTAATGTAGTTTTTTGATAGTTTTTGTTCATAATTTTAATCATTTTTAACCCTATAAACTTTCTTTTTATCAGTTTTTAACTTCCATTTGTTTTAATAACTAGAATATATATTTTCTTTAAATTTAATTCTATGAAAAAACTTTTAATGTTAAAATTTATGTTTAAATGGACTTTTGTGTTATGTAACATGATTAAAAAAAACATGAATCTTCTCATAGTTTAATTACTTCAATTTATCTAATTTTTTTTCTAATAAACTGATTCTGATTCTGTTTTTTCCCCTATGTAATCAGTTTTGCAATTTCTAATTTTAAACATTTAAAAGTATATTTAATTTTATGCAAAGATATTACAAGGTTAACTGAAAGAACAATACTGTTTATATAACAATTGCTGTCAATATGACTGTTTAAATACTTTGTCATGCCGCCCTTCATTGGTCAATCTGCTGTGTCAAAAAAGTTGTGCTCTCCTATTAAAGATAATGACTGAAAGGTCGACCTATATTCAAAAATATACCCTAAGCTTTCTAAAAAATATTCTAAAATGGTGTTTAGCTGTTTTCTGTTTGTTTTTCCATAGTTCAATGTAAAATGTTCTCTTGGTATTAACAAATTTTCTCTCTTTTATATATCTTTTTGAACTAATAACCTGTGGAACCTGATCTTTGTAAACTTGGTGTAAGTATTTATGAAATGTCTCTATGCTTGTCTCTCTCTCTCTCTTTTTAATAAAATTCTATCTTGAACTAATAGTTAAATTTTTTTCTACATTTTTCTACTCTATTCAAAATACCAGTATGGTTTTAATATTTTAAATTGTCATGTAGTAATAATTACAAAGCTTAGTGGTTGAATGTATTAAAATGACATTTTGCTTCAGTTATCCTAGGCAAAAAAAACTTCGCTTTACATATGAATGACGCAGAACAATTTAAGAGAAAAATATCCCAAATAAGATATATAAAATCCCACGCCACCATGTGCCTGTTTTTTGAAACTAATTGTTTTCTATTCATTTCAGCAAAATGACTTCATTTTTAACACTCCTTTATATTCTGTATTATTTATCATTATATTTTTTGAATTTATCACATAGACTATTAAAAATAGGTTTTTAAAAGTAGTTTTGTGTAGTTTGTATGTTGGTATATAATTATCGACACTGTCAACCTTCATCTATGAAAAGGTACCCCAACATAGAATCAAGTTAACATGTCTTATATACTAGCGAATTGGAATTGTATTTTTGTCGTGTCAGACACACTACAGTTTTTTTTCCATCCCTGGTGAATCAATTTTTTTTTTATCAGTACTGTTTAAAGTAAGTTATATACTGTATAAAGTTATAAAGTAAGTAAGTAATAGGTAGTGAATTAATAAACAATTATTGAAACAACAAAATTAGTTTAATAGTTTATCTACACATAAAAGATTTTTTTAATTAAAAATTTGTATGGTGTTCATAATTTGACTTGTTATTTATTTAATTTTTTTAAGAATGTTGTTGATGAAATAAAGGAAGACAGTTTCAGTGATCTTCCTCCTCAGCAAAGAAAAAGGAAGTTGCAACAAAGACTAGATGAAATTAACTCCAAAATTCAACAAAAAACGTCTGCTAGGTTTGTAAACTTTTCTATGATAATTAAGTAAACATAGCGTTTAACACTAAATATACCAACACTTAATATATACCTATTTATACCATAGCCGGTCAAGTGACCGGGCTTTGTTTCGTCATTGAATGTATGAATCTGGATGTTAGGAAGGAAGTAAAATGAAAAAACTTAATTGTAATTAAACAAAATTGTATATTGCCCATTGTTATCAATTACAAACACAAAGAATAAGAATTTTGAATTCATTGCTCAACAAATTTTTTACATATACCATTGTGCATTTTCCGCAAACATATTTCTTCTAATTATTATTCCTTCTATAAATCTTATAATTCTTATAAATATATGAATATATAAAAATTATAATTATTCTTATAATTAATGTTATTTCTTCTAAAAACTTGTGCTATCTTGATAGTTTCAAAATTTTTCTGGGAAAAAACTAACAATTAGTTAGAAATGAAGTAAATTCTATCAAAATAAAATATAAGCTACTTACAAAACATTTAGTTTCTGTCACTTTTTCTTACTCAAAAATGCCGATCCCAAATTTTTGGTACTCTCTTGAAGTTTAAATTCACAGTTTGAACTAACTACTCAAAATTTTTTGCAGAAATGTGCAACTAATCGAATGCAATACGTGGAACACGCATTACATCGTAATTTCTGATTTGATAACCTTATAAAGCAATAAATAGTTCTTCTGGTTATATGACCGGTTGTGATAGAAATCGGTATACGGCAAGTATTATTCAAAACAAACGAAATACACAAAAAATAATAACTATAATAGAATATTATCTGTATATAATTGTTAGAAAAAGTCATGAAGTGAAATGTGCAAAAACAATACGATGTTAAGCGCTTTTTCGATGCAAAAGTTCTTAAACGGTCATTTGACTGGTTATGGTATGTTTAGTGTTAAAACCTCAAAACCATTAAGCTTATTATTAGAGTCCTTGAATGTGCGTACTGGTTGCGCAAAAAGTGAAGATATGGTCTAGTACAGTGATTCTCAACCACAGTGTGTTCCACCAAATTCTTAAAATGTTCCGCCAAATATTAGAAATGATACAATAAAAATTATAATGCTTTTTTTATTACGAGTAAAGTTTAAATTAAAGAAAAGTGTATATATAAAATATTATATATATATAGAAATTTTTATAATTTTCCCACTCTTTAACCGTGTGAACATCTTTGTCGGCGATTGTCTTGTCTCTGAATATCTTAAAATAAGAAGGAAGTGTTTAAATTGTCTGACAATTTAAAAAAATTATGAAATAAGTAGGAAATTTAATGATTATTTAAATTATTAATTAACAAAAGAAAGCAAGCTTAACTTTCAAACTTAAATAAAAGCTAATCATTAAAGTAAACAATGCAATTAAAAGTTATAAAAACAAATTAACAAAAGATAACTAACAAAAAAATAAGCTAACAATTAATCATCAGCAAAAAAACTAGTTGACAAGAAATCACAAAAAAATAACAGTTAATGTAGAAAACAAGCTAACAATAACTAGCAAAAAAACTAAATAACTATTACTAACTAATAAAAAATTAGTCTAAAGAAATAATTAATCTCTTAATAAACGTGCTTTTGTAGTACATATTATTTTATTTCACATTCGAAATTATTTTCACAAACTATTTAACACAATGTATTATAGGTAAGTAAACAGCTTTTAAACTAATTTTTTTCATTGTGTGTCGTCAAATTTTGAAATCGTTAAAAGTGTTCCGCCCCCCAAAAAAGGTTGAGAATCACTGGTCTAGTATCTTGAGAAAAAAGTGTCAGAATGAAAATCTAAAAATGCACAAGTGAAATATTTTCAAGCGAGGCACTAAATATTATCAAATTCTTATCACTGCCCTACCTCCTGAGACTAGGGTGACCCTTGGGCGTGGGGGACATAACCTGAAGTCATTCTTAGATAATTTTTTTTTCAAAATATCATAAGAGCACAGAGTTTTTTCTGCTGTTTTACAGCAAAACTTATAGCTTTGAAACCAGTGCTGGTTTTGTTTATAAATTAACAATTCTTAGTTTTTTTTCAACTGAGGTATAATTTCATTCAATTGCAAAAGAAGAAATTTAATTGAACATCTAATTATGTAAAAATACTTATGTAATAAAACAAAATATTACGTAAAGGGAGTCTACGTCCTCTTTTTGCTTTGTTTACTAGCTTTCATGATTCCTTTCATATAACTAGGAATGAAATATATTGCGTTTTTTAATCATTAATTTTGTTTAATTTTAATTGATGTGATTTTAATAAATTTTTAGTTCACTATAATTTGGCTTAAATTAAATCAATTAACTTATGTATTTGCTAGTTTCTTTTTGTCTTGGTTTGATATTTATAAGTTCATCTGGTATTTATCATCAATAAATATGTTTTTTTAAAAAAAATTAATTTTATGGTTTTTAGCATCGTAATATTCAACCTAAATGTATTATTTGTTTAATTGTATCTGAGATTATTTTAGTTTTATGCATTTGGCTATTCCTTTTCATGTTCAGTTTGTTTTTGATACTACATGTCTGCGTGCCTGTTTTTGTAAGTAATAAACCTAATCTTCCTTTGAAAATAAAGGGTGTCCCAAAATTAATGCAAGATTTGAATTTGCCACCATTTTTGCAGTAAATTGTTGGCATCCCTGAAAAAAGAACAATTTGAGAGCTGAGAGTTGAAGTTTAGTAAAAATGGAGCGTTCAAGACGGTGCCACATTCCATACAGCCAGGGAAACAATTCAGTTACTGCATGAGACATTTTCTGATCGTGTACTCTCCCCTTTCGGTGATCAGAATTTGGCCCCCTAGATTGTGTGATTTCACACCCTTTAATATTTTCTTATGGGGTTAATTGAAGTCAGAGGTCCTTGTCAACAAGCCCACAACCACCCGTGCATTTCAAGAGGAAATGAAATGCTGCATCAACAAAATTCAGCCACAATAATGCAGGAAGGTCATGAAAAATTTTGTNACTGTGAAAGCAGTTCTGGGGGTTGGTGAGCGCCAGCGAGCAGGGGGCGAAGCCTCCTAGTAAAATCAAATTATTAGACGCACTGTAGGGTTTTAATAATTTCCCCCTCCTACGTAGGTCCTTGAAAAATTTGGTTTTAGGTCCTTGTAAGTTATTGAAAAGTCCTTGAATTTTTTCTCAAAATTGAGTGGGAACCCTGTGAAATTTGTTAAAATTTTAATGTTGCATTATTCAAGTAGAGTTGTTTCTAGAATAACGTTATGTGTGTTCAATGTCGATATTTCTGCACACTGTTATAACTATTACTAATTTTATGCTAATGACAGCCAACAAAAAGTTTCTTCTGCGCCACTACACAAGTGTTATAAATTTATATATTGTCAATGTGTTTTTTTTTTTTTTGAATCTTCATTTTGATTGTTTCTTTTAGGGAAGGATTGATGAAGATGAAAGGTGTTTATGAACAAAATCCATCGATGGGTGATGGAAAAACTTCAACAGGAATTTCAAAAATATCAGGTTTTTTTTAATGTTTTTTTTTTTAAACCTTGACTTAACTTGAACAAAGTGTTGAGTGGAAGCATTCAGTTAAATGAGTACAGCATATTACAATTAATCCACTGTTATAAGAAATTTCCAAGTCATCTTCAAAATCCTAACTTTAAAATAGTATGTTTCGTACAAATCAAAAATTGCTAGAATTTTGCTATTACGACAGAATTTT